TGGGTACCCCAAGGCTGGTTTTCCTCTCCTCCCCCTCCCCTTGACTGATTTAAGGATTTTTGCAAGAGAAACAGACTACAGCAGACTCCGCTATGTGGTTGTGTTCTCTCTTAACACCATCGCCCTCTCCTCAAACTAAAAGCTGAACCCAGGTAGCGTAGATAGGGGTCTTCCAAGAACCCCGTTCCCCAGGGGTGATTTTTTTTGGAGAAAGGGATTTAATCACCTGATTTTCCTGTTCTTTCAGATTGAGGTGGGCGTGAGTGCACGACTATCAAAAATTCACCCAAAATTAAGAAACGCAGTAGTTTCAGCTCACCATCTATTCTATAGCATTGAATGGGTCTTTTTGGGATGAAGCAAAACAACCCCCTAATACTTTAGATAAGACTTTCTTTAAAAGTGATTATTTTGGTCCGGAAGAGAAGTGCGAAACCTGGGTTTCGATTCCAAAGTAGCTGCCTTAAAAGGTCTTTTTGGAAGTTGGAGATCTAGGATCTTTTCAAAATATTTTGAGAAGGGCAGGCAAGATGGGGAAAAAACACACCTTCTTGTCTTTGGACATGAATTAGTCCTGAGTGGATGGAGGGGGGGGAAACATATATCAAGATTTGAGCATCCTTTGAGAAATGAAGGGTCGTGAGATGATGGAGAGACAGGGGAAAAAAAATAATTCTCAGCTGAGACGGGAAAAGCAGGAGTGGGGAGATATGACTGAAGAAACCCTTAGAGGGATTTTTGTTTTAATATTTTTTTAAAAAATGGCCGAAAGGAGGAAGTCTGGAGGAAAAATGGAGTTCTAATCCGAAAGGATTGTTTCTTGGAGAAAAGAAACTTGGAAAGTTCTCTGGAAAAAAAAGGAAGATATTGGAGGAGGTGAAGGGGAAGGCCGGGACAGTGTGCTCAAAGGATCTGACGGGGCATCCCGTAACCCATCATGCTTGCCTGGGAAGCCCCTCTGTTTGTCCCCAGCTGCAACCTGATGATGTTCTGTCCCGCTTGGAGTTTGTCGTCCAAGAAGGCCTGGCGATTTTCCTGGGATTTCTTCGGGAACCAGTTGGAGTCTCCCGCGAAGAAGCCATCCTTTTTGGAGACTGCCAAACCACCCAGGTTCATCAGGGTCCTCTGAACGCAGGCCATGTTCTTCCCTTCCCATAAATCCACAGTTTGGAAAACATCCGACGCCAGGATGCCGTACTTCTCAGCCGTGTGTAAGAACTGAGAAATCATTTCCATTTGTTTGAAGGCCATGGTGAAAATGGATCTTGGCTACAGGTCCCTGGCCCTTAGGATACAGGCTGTTGATCAGCAGGCAGAGTGAAAAAAACAAACAAACAGCTGGCTGTCATTTTGCTCCCCTCCCCCCAGATCGGGAAAGTCTAGTATCTGCTGTTTTGTCAAATCTCTTTGCCGGTCCCGTTCTAACCTCTCCAGATTGTTGGAAATGAAAGGAGGGATATTTTTACTTACAAATCTCTTGACTGCAAAGTGCTCATCAATTTTTGGTTGTCTTGCATTCTTCAATGGTGGGAGAGATCCTGGGCTGGTGCCATGGCGCTTCTTTCTTTTCCCCATGCCTTATTAGTCCTTATCAGCCAATACTTTGTCTGTGTTGTGGTCTACTCTGTTACCATCTCCGAAAAATATTATTTAAATAAAAAGGGTCCAATGGGTATACTAAAAATTGATAAAATAAAATATAAACCAGAGGAGCTACTGTAAACACGCTCCGGCAGCAGCAGCAGCCCCGTCCCCCTCCAACAGGCAGAGTACTATGCCATCTTTCAGCCATTTCTAGAAATTGTCTTTACCCAGTTCAGGCTCTCCAATGTCTGGCCCACACTGGGCCCTGATCCATTGGATGTGAATGTGTTCCAGGTCAGGATCGTACTGTCGGTCGATCTTTTGCTGAACCTCCCGACTGAGTCCATAAGTAGGGCCTCGGTTTGCCATGACACTAAGGTGGATGGGTGATGGATTTCCAAAAAAATGTGATCTTCCTCTGGGGAGAGTGGCTGCAAGTGCTGCCAGATTAAGCAAAGCTGTGCCTTACTCTCTAGGCACTGAGTTTAGCCGCTACACTATATGCATCCCATACAGTGAAGGAAAGCCATCCGAGTCTCTGATTTGCACACACACACACGTCATACCAGAATCTTGAACAGAATAATAAGCTAGCACTGATGAAGTTACCTAGTTTGGTAATGAAACATCTACAGGAAAACTACCAAGCTCAGAGAGCATCAAGAACCTCAGAGTTCAACCCTGAGCTACAAATATTCACTTCTATTGGTACAGAAGAATAAGTAGGGAGGGGGGAAATTGCTTTTGGAAAAGCAATGAAACATTCTATAAAGTGGACATACATACGTGAGTGGGAGGATGAAGAATCACTTTGTTTAGTGTCCTTGTTTTTATTAAATGCAGCTTGTCTGGATGAGAAAATATCACATGACTAGTTAGTGCTTGATAATCACCATAATGTTGACATTTAGGAAATTGAATTAGTCACTGTACATTTGCAATGTACCCAGGATTCAATTTCTCTTTTGTTATGAAGTATAACATCTTTACTACTTATTTAAGGAGAATTGCTCAGTTGTGCAATTGGAGTGCAATTATGTTTCTTGAAAATAGTTTTAATCCCTGGACCCTCTTCTATGAGAGACATAAAATCATTGAATTGCGGGGGGGCGGGCATTTACACTACTGCGTTCAATCCCTACACTGTATGCATCCTATATAGTGAAGGAATGCCAGCCATCTGAGTCATTGATCGCAATGTTTTCAATATTATGAAGGGTTGAGTTTGCAGGGAGGGAGAGAGAGTCCTCTTACATTGAATTTAGAATGCCAGTTTGGTGTAGTGGTTAAGGCATTGTGTTCCTTGGGCAAAGGATAAAGAAGGGCAAAGAAATACAAAATTTGTATACAGAGATTTTCCACATTATTTACAACCCTGTCCCCATCCTCTATGTGTGTGTGCCTTCAAATTAGTGCTAACTCCTGTCAACTGCTAGAGAGGCTTCTGTAGTTTTCTTGACTTCAGATTTCAAAAGTGGTTTGCTATTGCCTCCTTCCTAGGGCTGAGAGAGGGGACCGGCCCAAGGCCTCCCAGGGACTCCGAGCTAAGGTTGGACTAGAAATCATAGTCGCTCTGTTTCTAGCCTGCTGCCTCAACCACTATACCAAACTGGCTTGCTAATATTGTTACTCATTCTCTATAGAGGCTAGTCAGCCCTTTTCACCCTGTGGAGGGTAATGAAGATGGAGGATCCAGCATTATCATTTTCCTTTCCTTCCTTTAAAACTTACATGTTTTAAAAAATGCCTTGAATAGCTAGACTTTATTTAATATTCTCACTATTTTTTAATCATCATTTTTGGAACTCATTTATCAGTTAACAGCATCTAATTAGTTGCATTTATCATTAATTGACTGCTAATTACCAGTTTGCACAAAATTCTCACAGGAAAAATGTATTCCTCACAGCAATCCATAAATATAGTGGGAATATTATAACATCATTTATGTTAATATATTATTTCCTCCCTCCAGATAACTTCATCAAATTTGGAAGTGCTGAGAGAGACACATTAGACAAATTGAAAATTGGATTGGATCACTGGTAGTAAGGAATGCTTAACTGGTCTGCATAATTTTTCTAAGCTATTCAACCATATATATACCTAGAGTGTAAGGCAATATTGTATAACAGCAGCAAAAATATTATAGTAAAAAGTGTTTTATATCTTCTGACTTGGTTACTAAAAATGTATTACAAAAAGATTGTCTTATCCTCTTTGTATATCTCATTTTTCTACCAGTGTCTTAGTAAAAATACTTTTAAACTATGCTGTTGCTTTCATGTGAGAAAATGTATAGTTTATTGTCTGCCCAAACCTAACTAGATTACACCAAACAAATAGAAGCAATAGTACAAGTCATTGGCTGAATTTCTATTATACATGCCAAGAAAGAAATCAAAAGGAAATGTGCAGGAATAATAGTGGGTCTGAATTTTATTATATGGTTTCAACTTGAACTTATTGATTACTATGACAAAAGGTTACCATTTTCTATATAGATATCTATTAAAGAACCTCAAAGGACCTTTCTGTTTTCATGCTGTTATTCATGAGAAAGTACAATAGCTGTCTGCAAAAGTCTCTAGGAACATACTATGACAGATGCAACATAATACCAAACATGTTCCGTGCATCATTTCTCATCATTGAATCCAGTGCCATAAGCAGAAAGAGAAAGCAGAAATACACAGGATCTCTCTTGTTATTAATAAGCACAAACTATCACATATACTACTCTTGCCTTTCCTTTTATGTAAAGATTTTTTGACTTGTGGAAATGCGCAAGTGGGATAAAAGCAAGTCCCAGTTTCAAGGAGATCTTTGCCAAGGGTCATCCCCCCATCCTTGTATTAGTTGAGCAAGGATGCTCATGGATTCAAGGCCACCCCACTTCATGGATCCTATTACTTTTTATTTCAAAGGCAACACATTTTATAAAATCTACTCACTGGGATATAGCCCCCAAAGGCTAAGATTAATTCCTGGCTTTTTGAACAACTCAGATATGCTCATTATTTGCCTGTCCCAAGGAAAGAGTAATTATTTAACAGTTTGAAAGAGATGCAGGGATGCTTTTTAAAGTTGGCTGAAGGTGAAGCTAATGTTATTAAAACAGTTCCATTAAAGGATGGAAATGTTCTTTTATACAGATAAATATTTAGGGCTAATGTCTTGAATGCCATTAAGGAGAAAAATCCACTGTTTCTTCAGGAAGGAATTCTAGAACAGAGTTTTTCAAACTGTGTTCTGTAGAACTCTAGAATTTTACAATAATTTGATGGCATCAAATACCTACTGATAGGACTTCCATGTCCCACAGAAACATATTTCTATGATGTTCAGTTGCATGGAGTTGGGGTGGGATAGTAAAACAGAAAAACTCAATATTTGGGCATTTCTAAACAGCAAAGACTGACATATCCTGGTCCACATTTTATATTATCAAGTTTCAGTAGGTCTGAAGTTCTGAAATCCATATTTCTATTGGGAGTAGCAAGGGTAAAAGGAAAAAAAAGACCTAATTTTCAGCAACAGTTTCAAGTGTTACAAGTGGAAGAAAATGTTATCAGCCTTGGCAAGCAAAGTGAACAGGTGTGACTAGGATGAAAATGAGTTTAAAATAGTTATGTGAGAAGCTATTTTATTTCTTTTCAACAATGCCTAAAACGCTTTGAAATGGAATAACCTAAAACCATGAAATGCCCTTTTGTGCAAGAAAAAAAAAAGGTTCCTACATGAAAATTCAATTTAAAAAGTGATGTGGAAAATAGGAAACTCCAGAAAGCAAAATAAATAAATAAATACAGTAACTGAGTCATTCTATACAATAGGAAAAGGCAGATGTCACAGTCCTGTAGAGACTGAACACTTTTGGACAAAATTGTTAGGCTTCATCTTATAACAGATAACAAGATAAAAGGGACTATATTTGGAAGTTCATCTATCTGAGAACCTGTTACTCAAATTGTTCATAAACACTACCGTGTTTCCCCGAAAATAAGACCCTGTCTTATATTTTTTTGAACCCCAAAATAAACGCTTGGCCTTATTTTCGGGGAGGCCTTATTATTTTGGGGTGCATGGAGCAAGATGGGGCTCCTCTTGCCATCTTACCTGATTTCCAGCTCTGCGTTTAAATATTTTCGGGGAGGGCTTATTTTCAGGGGGAGGCTTATTTTAGCATACTATGCACTCAAAAGCCCGATTGGGCTTATTATCAGGGGATCTCTTATTTTCAGGGAAACAGGGTATATACTTCTAAGGGCTGTAAACACTCAACTGCAATAACATATATATCACCAACCTTCTTAGATTATTTAGAAAATATCTAAAGCCCTGGCTCTGCCATCTTGCTTGGGGATCATAGAGCTATACACAACCATGGGACTGATTAGTGCCTCCCATCCTTTAGTTAACTTGCAATGTCACGTTTTTAATTATTCTTGCCCTAGTTTATATTTTTATATTTAGTTTTTATGTTTTTAACATTTTATATATTTTTAACATTTCATCTGTATACCTGCCTGGGTCCCTCTGTGAGGGAGATAGCCAATTTCTAAATGTGACTGATAAATAAATAAATAAAATGCCAGTAAATAAATGCCTGAATTCATCAGCAAATCTCTTAGCCAGTTCACTAAAATATCTTTAGCATTGCCTCTCCAAATATCATAAGATTTCAAGCAAGATGCTAAAAGATCAATAGATTTGAACAATCCTGTGTAAGATGGTTGCCCTTTGAGAATTAATTATTTAAAAAGTAATTTAGTTAAGTAAATTGATACATTTCTGGGAAACTGGAAATTATCAGCCTATAGGCATGACAGTGCTGGCCTGATATATTCATAGCTTTGAAGATTGCTTAGAAACTTTGATTAGTTGCCAAAACAGCTGTAAAATTGATATCTATTTTCCTGGTTCAGAAAAATAATGGCAGGTTACTGATTTATCATTTCAACTCTTATCGCATGGCTATGCTAAAGAATGAAATAAAACACAAAATCCTCCTATTACTAATTTTACTGACCAACACTTATAACCTGGTTGCCTGATTAGACTAAATTCGTAATTTAAAATTTTTAGCTAGCCAGTTCTCTATACAAACTCCAGCATCACAGGGCTTGAAGGGCTGAGGGCTTGAAACTATTCTGTTTCCGTAAGAAAGATCAATCAAATATGAATGTGTATTATGAATCATGCTGCATAGATTGTTATGATGGACACCTTTTTTCTCTTACGTGAAATATTGGCCTACATGCTTTTCTGTTGCTTTATAAATTGTTGCTTTAGCATTTCTAATTACATTGACAGCCTCTTGGTAAAAGAATAGCATAGGGCAGCAATTATTGCTGTCAGAAAAGATAAAAAAGGTTGTATATTCAGTAGTGTCTATGTTTATGTGTGTAAGAGATGAAGTGGGTTTTCCCACATCTACGACTACTTCCTTCTCTCATCACCACATGGAAGATTTAAGCCCATTATGATCTACTGTAATCCAAATGCATTTTCTCAATCAACGCAATTGAAATTACTTATGTTATTACAACTAAAAGGAGACACAATCACAAAATACATGTAACGTATAGTTAAATTTTACCAGAACGAAGAAATGAGAAAACCAACGAAGTGCCAAGGGATTAATCTGTGCCCACTGAAGCATGCAACTGTGTGTACAGGAAGAGATTCAATGTATAATACAACTCCTCTTGTGTATTCAACATCATGTCTTTTTCCAATTGTCCTATACTACTATTTCCTGTCCTGTATGCTTTACTTGCTAATGATGCATCCTCAGGTAGATTATTAAATATAATATTTGGTATTTTCTAAGAATAAGAGTTATTTCCCATCTTCTTTTCAGTAACAACAAAACTGCATATTTCTTTAGCAACTGAGAAAAGCACCTAAAATAGAGGTTGGTGACTTTTTTTTCTTCCATCATAGCAAAGCTATCAGTGGAGAGGGCCAGAGCCAAAACTGATGGAAACCTTTTCTGTCTTCCAGCTCATTCATCTACTTTTATTTTTTTTTCCCTACTCAAGGAAAGAGAAACAATTCCAGCGAAAGACAAGTCCTCTTGCTACAATACTCTGCACTGATTTCCTGTTCAACACTTCTGAATTAAGATGATGAAAAGTACATCACCAATTATATTCGCCATATGGCAATATCACAAATAAAAAGTTTTTAAAAAGAAAAATATGCAAGATAATTCTGCATTTGCTCTTGAATATAATGTCTCCTGCCATGTTTATTCTGCCTATCTTTGCTTTTCTGCATATCTAATGTACAAATACCACTTTATAATGCCACACTTGGAATACTGCATCAAGTTGTGGTCACCACGATATAAAAAAGATGTTGAGACTCTAGAAAAAGTGCAGAGAAGAGCAGCAAAGATGATTAGGGGACTGGAGGCTAAAACATATAAAGAATGATTGCTGGAATTGGGTATGTCTAGTTTAATGAAAAGAAGAACTGGAGCGACATGCTAGCAGTGTTCCAATATCTCAGGGGTTGCCACAAAAAGAGGGAGTCAAGCTATTCTCCAAAGCACCTGAAGGCAGGACAAGAAATAATGGATGGAAACTAATCAAGGAGAGAAGCAATTTAGGACTAAGAAGAAATTTTCTAAAAATTAGAACAATTAATCAGCGGAAAAACTTGCCTCCAGAAGTTGTAAATGCTCCAACACTGGAAGTTTTTAAGATGAGATTGGACAACCATTTTTCTGAAGTGGTATAGGATTTCCTGCCTGAGCAATAGGTTGGAAGACCTCCAAGGTCTCTTCCAATTTTCAACTCTGTTATTCTATTCTAAATCTTTATATATGGTTTTCCCATATAAACACCTTTTGTACACAACTTTCCCAAATGTACACATTTTTGTGCAACTCTGAGTTTGCAAATATTTTCACAGTACCAATATTTTTGATAGGATAATAGTTTTGAAATGAGCAGCCTCAGATTTGAATTTTCTGCTTTTTTGTTGTTTACAGGGAATGTTTTGTCTTCCTTTCCCAAAAAAGCTTGGGCATACATATCAGAAATAATTGTTTTGAATTCCTAGCAATTCTGGGGATATAGTTAATCCTTAGGGGACCAGTTATAGAAGCTGTTAAGCATAAGCACATGGACACAAGGACAACATGCCATCCATATGATTAAAAAATTCTTATATTGTTGTTCACATCTATAGAAAATGAAGAATACTACCCTACAGATGTTAAGAAGTAATTGGTGTAATATACTGGAACTTCTAAACTGAGTTGGGGGGTTGCATGTGTGGGATGTTTATAGCACTATTAAGTCGTGGGAAAAAAGCCCACTAAATAAAGAGCCAAAAGATTTGGAGATAATGCAAACAAATATGGTCTACTGGCATGCATAAATCTAAGAGAACATAGGACCTCATGTTAATGAAATGCTGAAGAACCCAAATTATATGCTCTTACAAGGAAATGCAATAAGTTACAACGGTAATGTAAACTATTATGTGACACTTAGGCCAAGAATGCTACATCAGATAAGTTGAGGGGGTGACCTTACTATGGGGTTGCCCTGGTGCCTTCAAATTCAGCATGTCCATTGATGGCGCTTCCTCTGTTCTTCCTTTCTGATACTAACACTAGCTAACATAAACACTTGTACTTTATTACTTTCATTAAGTGACCCTTTCACACTTATAAAAAAGACAACTGTCTGCTTTATGTTAGCAGTCCCTTTTCTCTTCAGGGCTATCCATCCTCATACTTTCAATTCTTTCTTCAATTTTCCTGTTTACAACAGCCATTTTCTCAGGAAGGTAACCAAGCAAAATTTGCCAAATTTCTTTTTAATCTCCACCAGTCCCAGTCTAAATGTTCAAATTATACCATGCAAAAAGAGCGCTGTGTATTTTGCAAGATAGGGAATCTGCTCATACATCAAGCGCACATATTGAATATAGGATTAAATGGACTGCATGCGCTTACAAAAATGCCAAATGTTTTTTTTTTCAGAAATACAGCTATGCATTTCCGAAATGAGATGAGCGTGTGCAGGGAGAAAGAATTTATTGGAAAGAGACCATATCATAAACAAAGAGGCTACTTTTGATATCACTGTGTGATAAATGATTAAAGACCAAGCAACAGTCTAACTGAAAAAAAAGTCATCCTTTTAAGGGGGGAAAAAAACCCAGACAATTGGAGATATAAAGAGCAAGTCAGAGATATAAAGAGACTAGGTCAGCCAATTCAGAGAGTTTGCCACAACAGATGCCATTTTGTTTGCCTACAAATGGATATCTATTCCATCCCAGGTCTAATTCATTACTTACATTCCATGTAACCAATTAGCAAGCCTGAAGGTATTCTCTAACCAACAATGGATAGATAGAAATAGTATATTCCTTTATATCCCATTTGCACTCTTCTTTTTTTAGTTCTTGAGAAGTCAGAAGGAAACTAGGCATTTTACTCCCAAAACACAAAAAAGCCAACCCCCTCTTCCACCTACAGTATGTTAAAAGGATGCTGAATCATTCTGCTGGCAGACAAAATGAGAGGCTGAACAGATTCAATCGTCATATTAAAATGGCTGTCAAACCCACGTGAAGAATGCATACTTATTGTAAGCCTGCTTAAATTAAGAGGGATGTCTAGCAAAAGAGCCATCCATAGTACTCTTAATTTAAGCAGGCCCCAAACACATCACCATAGAAATATAAACATTAGGAAAGGAGGAGACAATGGAATAATACTAATAAATCAAAAGACAGATTTTGACAGGCTGTTAAATCAAAAGAAAAGTTTATCAGTGTTGATGGGAACATAGGGTCCTTCCTTCCCCACCCCTATAAACTGGTGTTCTCTGAATTTTGGGGAAAGGGGATGGAATAATTTCAGTTTAAGACAAAAATGGCTTAATAACCCTGCCTTTTTTAAAAAAATTAATCGTTTGCAAGCTCTTATGAATTCTCTGGAGCCACCACAAACCAAAAAGTAAAGCACCTGGGAGTCAGCTGGAATTTTAAAACCACAGTTTCATTATGCTTAAAAAAAAAAAACAACCTTAGTGACAGAACACGTAATGCTGAAATATATAAATCACCAAGAAGTCAAAACAAATAATTTCCTTTGATTCATTTCCTTGACAGCTATCCCTGATGGACTGTCACTCCCACTCTCCCTTTTAAAGGTTTTCAGAATTGGAGTCCCATATTGTGAACAGCTTTCAGGCACCCGAAAAAAGTGAAATATCAACCCTCAAGTCTGTTTTGAACACCAGGCCTCAAGTCACTGATGTGGAGAGCTTTGGCAATTGTACAAAACCCATGCAGAATGGGTGCAGTCTAAACAGGTTAGGTCTTTGGTTTCTGTTTCTGAACCACTGAATTTGGAAGTAAATTATATCAACCTTGCTCAAAAAAACATGCTCAACATGTTTTTAATGTTTTTAATTCTTAAATGTTTTTTATAATGATTTTAAATGCATTGTGAGCCGCCCTGAGTCTTCGGAGAGGGGTGGTATACAAATTGAATTAATAAATAATAAATAAATAATAAAATATCACCAATAGCTCAAACGTGATTAAGAAGCCTCATTTTCTTTCATCTGAAGTAGCACGGAAAGCCATTTCAGTATAACTGCTGTTTACCAATGATCTATACTTGGAAAAGCACAGTAGCTACACAGTAATTGTATTCTTAAACTACAGAGAAAGTTGTGGGTTTTGTTTTTATTTTTTGCAACAGATGAACAGCAGGATATTGAGACTTGATTCAGGGTTCAATGATTCAATGCTCAGTGTTCATGATAAATGATGCAGAATTTAGTCATCATTAGGAATCCTAGCATGTCTGGCTATGTTCACATAATACACTGAACTGCAGACAAACTGATTGCATATATGTATGTTGTACAAATCCAACGGACTCCTGCAGTCTCAGGACCCTTGTGGTTTTGGATTACTCTCCAAATTACAATATCCAAGTTCACAAGGAGGAGGGAGGAAATGGTTCCAGGTTGAGAGTCAAAAGGCCTGGATCCTCTCATTCTGCACATAACATATGGCCATTACCACCAAAAACCATCCTGATAGCCTCCATTTATTTATTGAATGCTTTTTTAAAGAGAGTTTAACTGTCACCACATTCTGAGAAATGTGGGAGCAGTGGGCTCATTTCCGAGTTTTAAGTCTATACAGAGAACATTCTCCCAAAAATGGCTATATGCAGGATTTGCTCCTTCATAAAATGCATCTACTTTTTTTCTATATCATGCATTATGCCAGTAGTGCCAATCTCACTCCTGATTTGCTTTCTCTCTCCGGTTAAGATCTTAAAACACTGTGATTTTACCTCCATCAAGGAAGGTTTCAATGGTCTAACTATTTTGCATGACAATTTCTGCACCACAGCCAACTTAAAAGCACCTTTCTTAAGGTGATAGACAGAACTGGACATCCTATTTACAAGTATTGTCACACCAAAATGTAGATAATAAATTAGACTTAGGAAGGTCTCAACTTCCAATGAGAGAAAGGACAAGAATATTTCTGGATATCACTTTGAAAAAAAAGATTATAGAGTTCACAAAGTCCAAAAAAGCTTAAGACAAGAATTATTTTTCACATAGAAGGTAAGTGATCTGTATGCCCTTAGGTGTTGACAGGTTTCACCTAAAACAAAATGTGACATTAATTTGGAAGTTCTTTTGTCCTCAGGAAACAAAAAATCAACAAATGTCAAAACATTATGACAAGCTCAATAAATTTCCTCTCAGGAGAGAACTACACGTATCTTTTCCTTCTATGTTACTTAACTGAAGGAATATAATGTTCATATTACTTGATGTCACTAATTTTCTAAAAACCAAACACTCCTGATTGTTAGACATTGGCATTGCAGTATGAATGAGTAGTCAAAGCTGTTTTAGAACCCCCTTGGTTATAATTACTAGCTAGCTATCAGCCTACCATATTGGCTAGAATTGTCTAGCTGTAGACAATACATTTGAAGGACCCCAAATAGGGAAGTCTAGCCCTACTCCTATATTAAATTCCTTGTTTACTTGAGTGCATAGTATATACATTAAGTCATATGGATCTTAGTATTATTGAAATTCATGAAACCTTTGCCCCCATGTAAAAATGCTCATTTTCCCACTGAATGAGTTACTATATCTTTTACTAGATTGCATCCAAATCT